TGTGTGTGTCTGTGTGTGTGTGTGTCTGTGTGTGTGTCTGTGTGTGTGTGTGTGTGTGTGTGTGTGTGTCAAGTCAAGTCAAGTCACCTTTATTTATATAGCGCTTTTAACAATACAGATTGTGTCAAAGCAACTGAACAGCATTAATTAGGAAAACACACTTGTGTGTGTGTGTGTGTGTGTGCTTACACCCATGACACTGAGTCCCTTGAGCTTTTATGGATATTTGTGGAGTATGGCGTTTGGAGCCTGTGGCGACGGCAGATGAAAAGAGCAGACGGTTGGTCTCAGATCTGCTCCCTGCCAACAGCAGCCCACCGCACAGATACACTCATCTGCCCACAGTGTTCCACTGACCTTCTGTACTTCATCTATGCCAAAAAATTCAATGAAAGAGATTGTCAAAGTTTAGAGTCAGAAAACAGTGCTCTTTTCTCTTTCTTTCAAGCAGGTGCCCAGTTCCCATTCAAGGAGGAGCGAGTCAGCCGTGATGGCGTCAACAGAGACTCTGCAATAATTGGAGGTGAAATATGCTGTTCCAGTATTATGCTTTTTTTATTTTTAATGTCATGAGACATTTTTATCAAGACAAACATGGAAGTTGAAGACTTATTTTGTAAGATGGATCCAGGAAAAACCTTTACAGTTTTTTTTATCACAAGTACATTGCAAGAATATTTTTAATTTTATAAAATGTTTCTATGTATTTTATTGTTTGTTGAATCCTTATCTTCCATGATATGGAAATAAATGTAAATACAACCAACTGACAATTATATTTCTTAGGCTTTGACATCTTTGGTGTAGAACATTTCTAAACTGAATTTAACGACATGATTTATCATGATTTTAATATAATATGATCATCAAAATAATATTGTTAAAATAATTAGAATTATTGCTTTTTGTTATTGGTGTAGAACATTCTACAGTTTTTAATGAGTCATCATTTCAATCATTATTTTAATAGCATTGTCTAAATATATAATATTTACACAAAATATTATAATGCAGTATTAACTATTCATCAATTAACATATCAATATAATAAATATTCAAATAATTTTAATTTAATCATTAAAATAATGTGATCTAATTTTATAATATATTATCATGGGTGTAGAACTTTTCTAAACTGATTTTAATTATATGATTCATCATTGCAATCATTTTAATATCATTGTATAAAAATATATAATATTAATATTTAAAAATATAATATAATTATAAAATAATTAAAGTAAAAATGTCAAATATTTTGAATTATTGCTGTAGAATATTTCTAAACCGATTTAATGACATGATTCATCATATCATTTCTGGCTCACGTAGGCATCATCGCAGTGGTGATTTTCAGCATCCTCTGCACGCTGGTGTTCCTGGTGCGTCACATGTTCCATCACAAGGGCTCCTACCACACCAACGAGGCCAAAGGGGCGGAGTCTGCCGACTGCGCTGATGCAGCCATCATCGTGAATGACCCCGCCTTCACAGAGACCATCGACGAGAGCAAGAAGGAGTGGTTCATTTAGCCACACCCCCTGGGAGGGGCTTCGTCCTCTGACATGGATACCCTGAGGAACACATAAAGGTCATTCTGAGCTCTTCGAGCAGCCAATATGAAATGGACACTTGGCAAGTCCATTCGGACCAGAGTCTGTGCACTGACTGGCATGTCTGTTCTGTAATTATTTTGTATGTAAGTGAATACAGCAAAAGGACTTCTGTGAGATCAAATTCATCCCATGCACACATGACAGGCATATTCCATATGGGACGACGGTAAAACAAAAACAACTGATGCATTCTTATCATTGCAATACTGCTGGTCTGTTAACAAGTGTGTGTTCGGCAAATATGAATGCACCAAATACTCCAATAGCACAAAACGGAATGTGTACAGAATGACGCATAATTATGTTTCTGATAATGACATTTGATTGTATTTAAACAGTTTGTTGTCAGCATCTTCAGGACAATAATATATTGTAGCATGGTAATCAGCCAATGGCATTCTGAATCATTCATCAATGTTAATGCAGCACTTTTGTATCTCATGGTAAATGTTCTTTATAGTTATCAGATGTCAGTGTTATTTATCTGTTTCTCCATAAGTGCTTGTTCAAACTCTTATGGAAAACATGGCAGAGGGTTTTTATAAGGAGATGCTCTTAAAAACATGAAAGCTCTAGATAGAGAGTTTAGTTCAGATGTGTTCAGTAGTAAATGATCTTGAATGGTCCATTTGCTCCAGTGTCTTTTAATGTGCCTCAAAGGTTCAAGGTTTCTTCTGGCCAAGCATGGATTTTGGGATAGATTCGATGACCCTTAATTATTAATATAGGAGAAAGATGACTTTTTTCGTGTCTTTGCCGTTTTAATGCACTGCTACAACTACAAACCACCTACAAACCATTTTTAATATTCTCTTCATTGTGCTTGGTTAAGTCACTTTTATTTCTTAAAGGGACAGTTCACTCAAAAATGAAAGTTCTGTCAGCAATAACTCACTCTCAAGTTGTTCCAAACCTGTATGAATTTCTTTCTTCTGAAGATCTTTTGAAGAATGTGGGTAACTGAACAGTTGATGGTCCCCATTGGCTCCCATAGTGTTTTCTTTCAATACTATGGAAGTCAATGGGAACCGACAACTTGAGGGTGAGTAAATGATGACAGAACTATGTCTGAATTACAAATGTATGTCTTTCTGGCAGTTTATTAACATGGTCTCATAAGAGTTTGTCTTCTCTGCTCATGTGAGTTCACTAACAAGAGTATTATTCAAACAACAGTTAGATTATAAAAAACCTGGTTTATAATGAAGCACTATAATAATATTGCTTTCTGTACATTTTAAGTTGTTTTATTAATTATTAATGTGTTTTACGTGTCTCCATGCATTACCAATATACCGATTGGTCTTTTAAATGAACAAAATCGCTTATTTATTAAGGTTTGACGCATCAAAATTATTATTATGTGATTTTATTATAATGTAATGCAATCATTTGTTCTCGTGTCCTTTTTCAAAAATGCTCATGTATGATAAGATGAAATGGCATTTCATGTTGAGGGTTGTAAAAAAAAAACTGACTCTCCAATAATCAACACATTGCAAATCTCAATAAACTACTGGATTGTTTTTGTAACAAAAAAAGACAAGATTTTATTTTTTAGGGAATGAGTGACAAGAGAGTTGTGTTTAATATGGTCCTCTAATTATTATGAGATGTTAATCTTAAAGAGGTCATATCCTACACTTTTTTTTCATGCAATTTTTTTTCTCTCTAAAAAGTCCGCTTATAATGTTAGTCGCCAAATTGCTTCGTTTCAGTAAACTGTTGGCCTATGTCTACATCAAACTAATTTAATTAAAATAATTTATATATATATATGTATAACGAAAGAAGAAGACGAAGAAGAAGAAGACACGACGCGGAACCTTTGATCACAGCCGGTGTTTTCGGGCAGCGCGCTTGCTGACGGATTTTATCTCAGTTTCCGGGGGACCGTGTTTCCGTGAGCACGAGCTGACGGAGTTTTTCTGTGTTCGATGTTTCGGGGTCGTTCTTTTTATTTTATTAGTAGCAAATAAATATCGCCACATAAACGTCTAAATAAAAGGGAATATTGTTAATCGGGATCCGGAGCGGCGTTGGAGATACATGTTTACGTGTGTCGTTCTTTCTGGATGATGGTAAGAGCGCGAGATTAGCGGTTAGCTTTAGCTTTAATCCTGAACACAAACACACAGTTAATAGCGATAATTAATATATTATTATCATAAGTACTACTGCATTATGTACTTCTTTTCTCCTGACTTGTATTAACGGATCTCTGCGTGTTTTACAGAGTATCTGTGGTGTGTTCTGAGGTGAGGCCTCGTCAGTCAGATAGTGTTTACATGAAGCACATACAATTAAGCAGTTTTTAATCCCGTGTGGGATATTTTTGGACGCAGGGAGTGACTGTTGTACTGAAAACATCAGCATTACGCTACAGCACGAACACAACAGTACATTGGTAATGCATGAATCGCCCTCGATGGCTCTGCTGATGCGGTTGTACGTGATGAACCTCGATAAACCCGACTCAACTACATCGCTCACATTGTGAGAGATGAAGCTGGTTGTCCAGTTTTGACATGTCGCTCACTCTCAGTGTAGACAGACAGGCTCTCATGAACATCATGAAGTGAGGGTCAGATCGTTAGAGCACACCAGAGATCATCAGACATCTGGAGAGGTCAGAGATGAGAAATCAGATTAATTTAGCAGTGAACTTGATGAAAAACAGGTAATAATTGCAGCATTAGTTTTAACTATCCTTTACGTGTGTGTGTGTGTAATACACACACACAAGACATGAACAGGTGATAATTAAAATATGATTTTTAATCACCTTTTTCTATTAAAATCGTCCACTATATGCATTAATTTGTATCATCATAAATGTTTTTACTGTCACTTTTGATCAATTTAATGCTCCCTTGTGGAATAGAAATATTAATTTAATTTATTTTCTTCTTCTTTTTTTTTTTTTTAAATCATCCTTCCCCCAAAACGTTTGCTTATATAAACAACATTACCATTTTCCTTGTGTTTTTGATTAAATGAATGCAATCTTGGTTAGAATATTATATTCTCTTTTTTTTTTTTTATCTGAATTATTCCAAACATTTGGCAGCCACAAGTTGTTGCAATTATTTTCTGTTCATGAAAGATAATTGTTTTATCTATTTTCTCTATAATAGACAAATTAATGAATAATAATGTAATAATTTCAAATGCATAATAAATTAAAATATAAAACATTAATATGAACAGTTAAAACTAAATATAATATAGTATACATTGTGTTTTATCTAATCTATTATTTTATCTATAATAGATAAAAGTAATTTTTAAAAATCTGTTATAGATAAGTTAAATATTTATATGATCTATTATTAAATGTTTGTGCTACAAAATTACAGTTAATTCTAATTAGATTAGAGTGGGTGTATAATATAATTACCATGTTCAGCTGTTCTGGTGTTTTGTAATTATTAACTGATTGAAAATCATCAAATCTGGGTCCAGATGTTCTGCTGTTCCGTCTGAGTAGATCACTGTAAGTCATGATCTAATGGCAGAATGCTGTTAGTTTGCAGCACCGGCTGCGGCTCAGAGCTCCTAGCGGAATCTTTTCTGTTCCTTGAGTTGTTGCCATGGATACAAGAAGGAATCCCCTGGATATAATGAACAGTAGATTCCATACAAGGAATGTTTATCCCAGGAAAAACTAGTGCTGCAGAATCGGCATCTGATAGCAGATTCCTGTTAGTTTTCTGTCAATTACTGATGCAGACTACACAAAAGAAACTTGTTTGCTCAAATGTGTCTAGCCCTACATGATTCCAACAGACTGTGTCTCTCTCTTTCTTGTTCCTCACAGGTTTCTTTCCTGTCTGTCACTGTTCCCTGAGGGTCGCCCCTCCTCGTCCTCTCTCACTGCTTGACCCTATGGAGGAGTAGCTCTTGAGTGACAGGCACGAGAACCAATCAAACGTCAGGAGGAGCATCAGACGCGCAGCCGAGAGGATGTCGTCATCTAACCGGACCCAGACCCCTCACGGTCTGAAGCAGATCGGGCTGGACCAGATCTGGGATGATCTGCGGGCGGGGATCCAGCAGGTGTACACCCGCCAGAGCATGGCCAAGTCACGCTACATGGAGCTCTACACGTATCCTCAATTGCTGTTTCATTCGTAATTTACTTCAAAAAAACGTCCAGTGTCTGTTGTGTCCTTAACTTCCTGAATTTCAGTCACGTGTATAATTATTGTACTAGTGTGCATCAGTCGAATCAGGCCCGCGGTGCAGGTGCCCCCCCGTCCAAACCTTCGAAGAAAACCCCCACACCTGGAGGAGCTCAGTTTGTGGGGCTGGAACTCTACAAGAGATTGAAGGAATTTCTGAAGAGCTACCTTACAAACTTACTAAAGGTACCTTAGAAAAATAGAGCTATTGTCAGTGTTATTATTTGTGAAAGACGTTTCTTATGCTGGCCAAGGGTGAATTTATTTGATTAAAATACAGTAAAAAATGGTCATTTTGTGAAATATTTTTATAATTTAAAATAACTGTTTTTCTATTGGAGTATATTTTAAGATGTAATTTATTCCTGTGATGCAACGCTGAATTTTCAGCATCATTACTCCAGTCTTCAGTGTCACATGATCATTCAGAAATCATTCTAATACTGATATGGTACTCAAGAGACCATTATTATTATTATAATTGTCTGTTGAAAACATTTTTGTGGAAGCCATGATACATTTTCAGGATGAATAGAGAGTTGAGAAGAAAAATATAATTTTTTTGTAACTATCACTTTTTATCAATTTAGTGTGTCTGCTGAAAAAAGTAATAAAAAATATTTTTGACCCCAAACTTACTGTACCAACTTACTATAGTAAACCTTTTGTAAAATGAAATGGTACTTAACCAAAAGTAATCAGTATCATTTAAATGCTATTATTGTTTGTATTATTTGTTAGAACCAGTTTTTATTTTCTGTTTGTGTTTTAATTTTTGTTCAGCTTTAAATAATTTTGTGGTGTGTGTTTGCCATTTTTATTAGGGTTTGTTTTTTAATGTCTATTTTTAAAATAATTTTTCATTTCGGTTTTAGATGTTTTAATGCATCAGATTAAACTAAATGAAAATGAGAAATGTATTGGCAAGTGGCTGAAATTAAATTTTTTTTATGGTTTTACTAGTATATTTACCTTACATATTTGTCTTGTTCATACCAGTGACCTAAATCTTTTAAAATCTATTCACCAAACTCAGATTTGTTTAGTGTTTCTGAACAGGTGTCCTTTAGGATCCATTGTGAATAACTTGAGTCAGATTCACAGCATTTAACCCAAAAGATTCAGTCATGGGCATGGCACCATAAGTTGTTCATAACAAAAATGATTCTATATTATTATTATTACTCATATTTATTCAATAAAAGTTGTGTAATGAAGTCTATAAGCCCACTAAGAAACTCTACAAGTAGTATTTAAGTACCATAAATATTTTGTCCTCAATGAAAAAACTAAGCAGATGCTTTGTGAACAAGCTGTAGACCAGTTACAACAACTTCAATTAAGAACACTTGATTTGTTTAAACTCCCAGTGAACAGATTTCTTTGATTGTTGTCCTCAGGATGGAGAGGATCTGATGGACGAGAGCGTTCTGAAGTTCTACACACAGCAGTGGGAGGATTACAGGTTCTCCAGTAAAGTGCTCAATGGGATCTGTGCTTACCTCAACCGCCACTGGGTGCGCCGCGAGTGTGACGAGGGCCGGAAAGGGATCTATGAAATCTACTCTGTAAGCACTTCTTGCTTTTCTTTGGCATTACTGCACAATTTCAGTTCATAAACAATAGCACATGTTTGTTGTGTGCGTGTGTTTTTCTAGCTTGCTCTGGTGACGTGGAGGGAGTGTTTGTTTCGGCCTCTGAATAAGCAGGTAAGATTGGAAACAGGAAAGACATCATACAGGACAAAGTGAGCATAACTCTAATAAATGTCTTTTTTGGTGCCTGTGTTCTTAGGTCACAAATGCAGTATTGAAGCTGATCGAGAAGGAGAGGAACGGAGAAACCATCAACACTCGACTCATCAGTGGAGTGGTCCAGTCCTATGGTGCGGCATCATTGACATCATGATGGATTTCATTGCTCGTTGATACTAGAGCCCGACCGATATGGGTTTTTTTGGGGCCGATACCGATATTAGGGAGTAAAAAAAGGCCAATATCGATATATCGGCCGATATTCTTTGTGTATATTATAGTACAGTACCAGTCAAAAGTTTGGACACTTTCCCATTCGTGTCTCCAAACATTTGACTGGCACTATATATATATACTGTATATATATAATACAGTATATACATAAACAGAACATATATACATAAACACATTTTTTGCAATGATCACTCAAATGTGGTGATCAATCACTTATAATGACGTGACAGAGATACGTAATGGAGGCAGGGCATTTAACAATTTAACAA